ACAGGAAGTAAGCCTTGCCAGCTGAAGCAGGGAACTGGCTAAGGAAGCTACACCCTGGTCCAACCATCAGAGAGCAAGAGACCCCAGAACTAGAAAGGCGAGGCTCACTGAGTCATTTATCTCTCCACCCTTCAATGAATCCCACATGTGGTTATCGGCCAGTTGGCACAATAAACCTTAACTATCTCAGGCATCAAATCTTTTCAAAATTTTATTTATTCGTTAGGAAACTTCATTTTCACAACAATAGCATGTTCTAGTTTGGCCTTCATGCTACTGTAAGCATGCTCTTCACATTGAAGGTTGACTGATTCCTGAAGTTAATGTGTTTAATTCCACAGGCCACAGGTGTGATTCTCATTATACTCTGCAGTGTGATGATCATTTGTATTTCCCCTGTACACATGCAGAAACAAGTGCAGGACATGTAGATCACATGACACTTGTGGGTGAGTAACAGGTTTAACGTGTAGGTTGATAAGACAAGGTTGAAACCATTCAGTGTGCAAGGAGATTTTAGAACATGGAAATCTTTGTTCGGGACTTAGGAAAACCTTTTGGGTAGAGTCTTACAAAGTGAATCCAGGCAAGTCTGGAAGGCGTTCTGAAACACATTAGTACCCCAGAATGAGTGAGCGCCTACCATCGATGCCCGTGAAGTCTGTCCTGAAAGGATATCTGGCAAGTTGTTTATATTTTGTTCGGGGAAACCATTAAAGCATAGAAAGATTGTTCAGGATGTAGGAGGTCGGGGGAGGCAGAGTGTATAAAGTTACTCAGAAAAGCAAGCCCATTCTTACATGTTTTAGATATTTCAACTGGAAGAACAAAGGCACTTGTACTGCAATAAAAACAAACAGACAACCCCAAATCAGGGGCCCTTACTAGTCACTTGTCTCAGCTTTAGAAGTTTGAATTTATTTTAGATGCCCCCCCCCCAAAGATACTTACATCATAGCAATGCTAATCTAAGTTGACAATGCCACCAATAAGCAACCCCCTTTTAGTTTATGAACATCTGTTTGCCATCCTCCAAAAGGCCGCCCTTGGGGTTCTTAATGGTCCCTCTGAGACTCCCCATTTAAAGTTCCGGCCATACCTTGGAGGGTGCAATTGTCTTTTCTCTGCACTGGGACCTTGCTCATCAAGACCAGGGAGCGAGTGACAGATGTGGCTCCGTCCCAGGCCGGGGAACCCGGTCTGCAGCACAAAGGCAGCTCCAGGTTGTCTTACAGATACCTTGTCTCTTGAACACATAGGCTCTGGTTCTGGACCCCGGGGGAGCTCTGTGAATTCCCAGGGGGCGGGTCTAACGGGAAACAAGCCAGCGGGAAGCCTCCCTTGAAGAAGGCCCCAGGGGGTCCTGATGCTGGAGCCAGGACCCCGCCCGCGGGGTCAAGTTTCAGAGCAGGGTTCCAGACTTGGCTGCTGGACAATCACCTGGGAACCGTCATATGTCCTGAGGCCGGGCCACCACGCACCATGCCAGTTAAAGCAGAAATTCTCCAAGTGGGGGCCTGGAACCCACCGTATGTTAAATTCCACAGGGGGTTTCGATGTGTGCTCAAGTTTGAAAAGCTGTCCAGAGGAGCTCAGTGGGGCGGTTCTACGCTGCCCCCGTAGGGTGCCCATGGGCGGAAACAGACTTGGTGGCAACAGGTCTGGTTTGGGTACAAGAAGGACTTGCAAGGGCCAGTGAGTGTCCAAGAGTAAAACCAAAGACCACGGCATGGTGTCCAAACCCTGTAGGGTTTCTGGGGTCGTCCATCTTTCCTGGGGTAGACGACTTCATCTTTCTTCCCTGGGGCGGCTGGTGGGTTTGAACAGCCAACCTGGTGGTTAAGATTACTGGTTAGCTCTGCCACTGGGGCTCCAGTGTAGCGCAGTTAAAAAAAAGTCTGGGAAGTGGAATTCATTGCACTGGCCCTGGATCCATGGAAGCAAGGTTTCTGTAAGCAAAGGAAGTTAGTGAAACTTGTGATGCTTGGACAGTGCCTTTGGTGTGGTTGGCCACCTGGTGCGGCAGGCCCAGGACGGCAGTTGCACCCATGGGCTGAAACCTAAGAGCAAGGGTGAGGATGGTGTGGTATGGCGATTCCTTCTGAAGTTCTGGTGTTTGTAGGCAATGTTTGGAGAATGACGAGGGAAACAAATGTTCAAAAGTGCTTGCACAGTGGATGCATGTGTGGATTGTGATAAGAGTTGTACAAGCTCCCAATGAAATGATTTAATTTAAAAAAAACCCTGATATCATTGAAGAAAGAATGTAGGGAAAAGAACCCATGAACATGGTAATAAATATAAATATTAGCCCCCCCCCCCAAATAGATGTACAAGTTGGATAGAACTCAATAGGGCTCTTATAAAGACAGTGTGCCTGAAGGGCAGCCTTCAGCTGAGACTTGGTTGAATAAGCGAAAAGGAGAGTGGGGTTTGCCAGAACAGAACGGGCTTGTAAGTCAGTAGCTTGAGTTGGGACCTTCGGTAGAAAACTGAGCTCCCCTCGATACCTTCGGAGCCAGGATATTTGCCTTAGGAAAGTGCCAGGAGAGGCACCCAGCATGCCTGGGAGAAGCAGAGGTGGGTGTTTGACAGAACAGACTAGCAGCAGCAGAAGGTGGCTGCTTGGCATTTTGCATTTCAAGCCCGTGGTTAGCTGTTAGAGATGTCCAGGCAAGAAGAGCCAGTGCCCATCAGAGAGAAGCCACGGTACCTTTTAAGACATCCACTTTCATCCGCATCATGGGAAGTACAGATCTTCAAGACTCCCGTGTGAATGCCTGGCAGTTTCTATGCCAACGGGAATGGACGAGCGAATGAATCCCTCTGTCAGGATGAGCACAATTAGATGTATCTACCAGCTCACCTTGGGGAATAAGGAAAAGAATACGTGCCCTCTCAGAATACTTGACGGAACACTTCCCGTTGCGAGGTTTTCCTGGAGCATCAAAGTGGACTTGAAGCTGAGTGTTAGCAGGCATGCGACACTTTGCTTTGCTTTTAAAAATCATTTTACTGGGGGCTCTTATAGCTCTCTTATCACAACCCAGCCACAATCCATTGTGTCAAGCACAGTTGTACCTAGGTTGCCAACATTATTTTCAAAACATTTCTTTTCTACTTGAGCCCTTGGTATCAGCTCCTCGTTGTTTTTCCCCTTCCCTCCCCCAGCACACGCTTTTCAGTGTCACCTACCTGCCGAGGTGATGCCACTCAAAAACAGAAGAAAAACGTAGCCGTGGATTTCTGGCTGTGGGTAGCCTTGACCTCCTTTTGGTCAGTTTAATTTCCACTGCTGTGGACAGCTGAAGATGTGGCTTTGCTGTGGTTAGGCGTCCTTGCATCCGTCTTGGTTCACAGTGGTCCTAGGTACCGCAGAACGAAACACTGCCCAGCCCTCCGCCACCTTCACACCCACCGTGGTAGTAAGCCTTCTCCCTGAGGCTCATGTCCCCCTTCTGTTTTAATCGGTCAAGACCTGCCACCTGGTGGCCGCATGTTGTAATGTCACGCTCTCGAGCACCAGTTTGAGAAAGGGTAGCAGAAAAGGCATGCCCTTGGTGAGATTGGTGCCCTGGCTGCAGCATCAGAGCAGTTTTGAGGATGGTGCGGGTCGGGGTGGTGTTTTGCTCTGTTGTACATAGGGTCTCTAGTGAGTCGCAACTGACCCGAGAGTACCTAACAAGCACACGGCGCCTGTGGAATTTCGGGGTGGTTCGTACAGTACTGCTAATGTGTTTGACTGTTAACTGAGGTCAAAGTCCACCCAGGGGTACCACAACTGCTTCTGAAAGGCCAGCCCCTGAAACCTGCCAGCAAGTCCATTCTGACTCATTAGGTCCCCCACAGGACCGGCTAGAACTGTCCTGGTGGGTTTCCAAGACTGTAACTCTATGGGGAGCGGTAGAAAGCTTCCGTCTTTCTCCAGTGGAGCAACTAGTGGTTTCAAACAGCTAACCTGGCAGTTGGCAGTCCAACGGGTTTTCCACTATACCACCAGGGCTCCTGCCTGTTCACTCGGGAGGAGAAGACTCCCCCGCCTTGGGCCTGATGGAGGTCCATGAAGGGAGTCTGACAGCAGATGCTGCCTCAGGCTTCTCCTGCCCTCTGTAGTGTCCTCCTTTGGCCTTGACCGAGGCTCACAGCACACACCCAGCACGGAGTAGAACTGCCCCTTGGGGTTGACAAGACTTCGATCTCCACACAAGCAAAGTGTCTCCTCTTTCTCCTGGAGAACCACCCCTGGCGGTGGTCAGCAGCCCAGTGGGTGAGCGCTCTTTAGAACAGCGGTTCTCAACCTGTGGGTCGTGACCCCTTTGGGGGTCAAACGACCTTTTCATGGTAACAGTAGCAACGAAAATAATTTTGTGGTTGTGGGAGGGGTCACCCCAACATGAGGAACTGTATGAAAGGGACAAGGCATGGGAAGGTTGAGAACCACTGCTTTAGAACAAAGTAGAACGAGTCTGCCTAACAGGCTGATGCTGTAATTAATACCTATTGTAAACAGTATTATCGGGCATATTTTCTGATCAGCAAGTGGGTCCATTGTGTTGCCACGTCAAAGTGGTTTTGCCCTTCACACACAATCACCACAGTACACGGTTTTTCCAGTTTATTCGTTTGATCCGGGGGCCTCAAAAAGTTCGTGGAAAATGGTTAAGGAAAAGGCAATGGGATTCCCTCATCCATGTTTGTCGCCAGCTCGCCTGTAAAATGGCCAGAGAAGCCATCGTGTCTAGAAAAACACCATTCACACACACACACACAGAATTTCTCAAATTCCTCAGATAAAACTATTTTTATTGAGACTTCCTCTAATGAATGGATGCTCATTCGAAGGTCACCTAAGAAGTAGGAGGCTTGAGGCTATCGTGGTGATGCTGGTTCTAAACCACCAGCTACCCCTTGGGAGAAGGAAGAGGCTTCCCACTTTGGTCAAGAGTTTGTCTCGCAAAGTCAAAGGGGCATCCTCCCTACCCTAGAGGGGGCCTACTGTGCGTTGGCCTTCGCTTAGCGGTGGTGGGTTTGCAGTTTCTGAGACCCACTCCTTGCTGGCAATAGACTCTACCCATTCGGTCCTGTAATACCATTCCCCCAAAGACTGGCGTACAGTTTAGCGCATGCGCTAACGTGGACCTATTCTGCAGGTTTGCCATTCCAGATTCAAGGTCCACCAAGCTAATTATATTTGTAAAGACCCCCCCACCCGCCACCCCCTCTCTGCCAAGCATCACACATTCAAACGGGCATCTTTTCTCCTTAGAATGGGCAGCCGAATTCACGTCTACTCGAACGGGTCCTTGTCCATTGACTCCGTGACCGAGAGGGACGGCGGGGACTACGTGTGTGTGGCCAGAAACACACGCGGGGACGACCTGGTCCGGATGCACGTCAGCCTGCGCCCCGAGCCGGCCAAGATCGACCGCAAGCCGCATCCTACAACCCGAGTGCAGCAGGGGAAGGACTTCCAAGTGGACTGCAAGGCTTCTGGCTCCCCGGTGCCCGAGATCACCTGGAGTTTGCCCGATGGGACCTTGGTGACCAACGCCCTGCAGGCGGACGACAGTGGCCGCGGGGCTCACGGTTACACCCTTTTCGACAACGGGACCTTATACTTCAACCGTGTAGGGGCGGCACAGGAAGGCGATTACACCTGCTATGCGCACAACACCGTGGGGAAGGATCAAATGAAGGTTCACCTCACGGTCGTGACAGCTGCCCCCAGCATCAGGCAGGGGTCCAAGATCCACCGGAGAGTCCATGCCGGGGACACGGCCACCCTGGACTGCGCGGTCACCGGGGAGCCCCGAGTGCAAATATTCTGGCGCCTGCCTTCCAACGAGATGATCTCGTTCTCCACCGACAGGTACACCTTCCATGCCAACAGCTCTCTATCCATCGGCCAGGTGGGGCTGCGCGACGCTGGGGATTATGTGTGCGTGTCCCACCATCCCGGCGGGGGCGACACAGCCAGGTACAGGCTGGATGTGGTCCCCGAGCCTCCGCGCATCAACGGCGGGCGCACCACCAGGACGGTGATGGAAGCCACGGCCGTGAGACATTCCAGGCAGTCTTTCGACTGCAGGGCCGAAGGGACCCCGGCCCCGCAGATCACGTGGCTCATGCCCGACAACCTCGTGCTCCAGGCCCCCTACCACGGGAGCAGGGTCTCGGTGCACAGGAACGGCACCTTGGAGATCCGCAACGTGAGGCCCTCGGACGCGGCCGAGTTCGTGTGCGTGGCCCGGAACGCGGGCGGGGAGAGCACGTGGGTGGTGCGGCTGCAGGTGCTGGAGATGCTGCGCAGACCCACGTTCCGCAACCCGCGCAACCAGGTGGTGGTGGCCCAGCTGGGGAGGGCCACGGCTTTGGACTGCTGGGTCGAGGGGAACCCGCCACCCCGAGTCACCTGGATGTTACCGAACGGCACGAGCCTCTCCAAGGGACCCCGGACCCCGCAGGGCTGGATCGCTGACAACGGCTCGCTCATCATCCCCAAAACCGCTCGCGAGGACGCGGGTAGGTACCGGTGCGCGGCGAGGAACGCGGTGGGCTACATTGAGAAGCTGGTGGTGCTAGAGGTGGGTCAGCAGCCGGTCATTCTGACCTCTGCCCGAGGGGTGGTCCAGGGTGTCGCGGGGGAACCGCTGTGGCTTCACTGCGTGTCTGCTGGCAGCCCCCCACCAAGCGTTCAGTGGGCTTTACCCAGTGGCCAGCTAGTCTCCAGGCCATCGGCCAGCGGGCCCTACATCCTGCACGAAAACGGCACCCTGCTCATCAGAGAGGCAGCTGCCCACCACGGGGGCAGCTACGTGTGCCAGGCTCGCAACAGCGTCGGCCAGGCTCGGGTGACGGTGCCCGTCACCATCATGGCCTACCCTCCCCGGATCACAAGCCGCCCGCCCGAGCGTGTACTCGCCAAGGCCGGTGCGGCTGTGCGGCTCCACTGCGTGGCCCTGGGTGTCCCCAAGCCAGAAGTCACGTGGGAGATGCCCGGCTACACCCTGCTGTCAGGCCAGGGGAGGGCACATGGGAGCGAGCTGCTTCACCCCCAGGGCACCCTGGTCCTTCAGCACCCGCGACCCTCAGACTCCGGCACTTACAGGTGCCGAGCCAAGAATCCCCTGGGGAGCGATTACGCAACAGCTCACATCCGAGTAATTTGACTGTGAACCCAGTCCCGGGGTCACACCCAAAACCTGTGCGATGAACAAAGCCAGCATGGGGCAGAGCTTATTTTTTGGAAGAAGTTTAATCAAAGGCAGCCAGAGGCATGTAAATGACTTTGAATACATTTACAATAGTCAATGGACAGTGGACATGCAAAAAGAAAAAAAGGGGGTAAAGACTTGGAAAAATTAATGCGGGATGAGCGGATACGGATTTTCTTTAGTGGACCTCAAAACAAATCTGTAACTTAAGGCACTTTTATTTTGCCAACACGGAACAGTGAACATTCCGGGCAAACACGATTGACCACCAGGCACGCCCAGTCAGCACAGACCTGCTTCTTTTGGTGCCAGCCGCCTGGCGTGTCCACCTTCGGTCCATGTTGCAGGTGTGGATCTCACAACACAGGCAGTGAAGGGCGAAAGTGCAGTCCTGGGGTGGTCATGGTGATGGGCAGCTTTCACGGTTTAGAGAGAGTACTAACCGCTGAACCGGTGTGGGGATTTACCTTCCCCCCGCCCGCCACTGTAAATGGTCCTCGGTGGGGAATGGAAAAAAAATGCTCTCAGAACCTCATGTGCAAATGAATGTAGCCTAACGTTTCCACGTGGACCTGCACATCAGACAATGTGAAAGGGGAGCTGATGACGTCATTGTCCAAAGACACCCGTAAAACAAGTTAACGTTCCGTTCGTTTGTTTGAAAAATATGGTGAAATTCCTGTCACCTCAAGATCGATGTCAGGAACCCCTGGTTTAGAGCTGTTTGAGGAGGCCCCAGGACTTCATGAAGTGACCACTCTTCCCGGAAGGGAAACTACGTAGGTCGGTCTATGACATGGAATCAAATTTCACTGCGTGTAAAATCTGTCCAGCCCTATGCAAAAGGTGGTTTCCTGGAATGCACTTTATTTATACAAAATGCTCAATTCAACCAATTAATGGGGGGTGGGGGGAGATGCTTATCTTTTAAATTCTGACTAGGATTTTTCTAATGTCTTAAGATTTATCGCAGTCTTAGCCTTGCTTAGATATCTTTGTAGAGAAAACACAGTCTCAGCTGTGTGTTTTCATCAGCTAGCCCTACTTAGGAGTCACTCTCTGGTGTTGGTGTCTTGCAGCTACCACAGGTTACCGGAGGCTCCAGCAGCAGTCTCCTTCCACTTGCTAGCCAAAAGGAACAGACAACATGACAAACACAACCCTAGCAGGCATGAGCCTTCAGGGTGCACAGGCGTGTCCTGTCTTCCTATACCCACCTCCATTAGAATTCAAGGCCTTCTTGTTAAAGGGAGCTGGGGGTGGCTTCTATCTCGCCAAGCAAATTGCCAAGTTCTGACTTGATAGAACTTTCACTGGTGAACCTTTTCATGAAACGACTATTATGCTGGGGGGCAGGTGTGGGGACATCAGGTCCCTTAGGATCAAGAACTATATATAGGGGAAAATATGACAGTACAAGTGAGAATTCTAGTTGCTTTCTTAGTAAGTCATAGGGGAAAACCGGTCCTCAACTTTCCATAGAATCTTGGAGGTATAGGGCTTTAGCATTACTTAGCTTTCTCACCTTAAAAAAAAAAGACACGAATATATATATATATATATATATATTAGATAATATACTCCACTGCTTTCATGTGCAAGAGGATTAATAAATTAACTGCTGTAAAATATAAAGTGCACAATAATGCTATGTAGTCATAACACTCATTCTTGAAACAGTATTACTGCTGTTTGCAATATTGAGTTCCAAAAACAGACGTTTAAAACAAGAACTGGCATTTCAAATACCAGCAGTTCTTTAAAAGGCAAGCAAAAGACAGACAGACAGAAAATAACGAAATAAAGAAAAAGGACAGAGCAAGACTGCGTAGGCACAACTGTGACATTCGGGTGGTTTGGCCGATGCAGTCACTTTATGGATGTGTCCTTTGATGAAAAGTAACTTCGTGAACCCCGAGAAGAGAGGCAAACACCAAACCTCCAAACCCCAAAAACCTGATGTCCAAAACCGGTTCAAATGTCAAGACTGGGCTTCTGAAAGCAGGTGAGAGCATGTTCATGGAGCGAAAAAGCATGGTCTTTAATGTTTTGGCAAAATCTTCCCCAGCCCAACGTAAACACAGCAGGCTGGTATAAAATATTTTCACAGTGTACATAGCAGTTTCGCATGGATCGCGCCACACAGGAAGCAAGCGGACATGTATCTGAGGTCGTTTGCTTGCGTCAAACTTTGCAATGAGTAACTCGCCTAGGAAGGTCTAAGTTATTTACAGAATGTTTTGCAAAAGAAATGATCCACCGATGTACTACATGGTTTGCTCATGATAGACAACTCTATTCACAGTATGCTTGACCACAGGATGTGTAAAATCATATGGCGAAAGAAAATGAATTGTTAGTACAGAACATGGGAAAATGCCCCCCACATGTTTTAAAATGCCCGGCAATTTTCACATTCGAAATTTTATGCATCTAAATCTAAAAAAATATTATATGGAATACTCTTAAGTTACACAAACTGATAATAATTTACTGCATTTTTAAATTTTACTCTTATAGGAGCAAATTACCACATACTTAAACAAAGTTAAAATAGTTACTATTTCTTTATAATAAATTTGATGTATAATTTACTTTACTTGTGCTTTTTGCACCAGTTTATAAATACAGTATATGCAATACACAACCAAGACTGGTACCGACAATAACTAAATTCAAAATAGCAAATACTTACCATACAAAATAAACAGCAAACACACCGTGTGTGGGAACCCAGAGCTTTCTGGACTTTGGGGCCAGATTCTCTGGAAACCATGGCAAGTTTGAGCACGGTAGAATCTCGGGCCAGTTGTCAGGTGTTTTTTTTTTCTTTTCTCTTTTTCTCAAGTTGGCATTAAGATTCGGGGGACCCAAAACTAAATAGCCTTTTTGTTGTTGTTTTGCGTGTGTGCGCGCCAAAATTTGGCAATAATGACTGGAGCGAATCCTCTGTGACTCACGTGGGCCTCTGGACCTAACGAGTTGTGCCTTCACAAAGATTCTGGCCTATGGTCCTGCCACCCCAACAATGAGTGATCGGCTGTCCCTCGGCCTCAGGGGAGCTCACAGAAGCCGGGAGGAACTTCCAAGGAGCAAGCTGTCTCAGCGCCCTTTAGATCACAAGGAAAGCAGAGGGGGGAAACAAAACTCCCACTTAAATAAGAACAGAGTTTATAAAGTGCTCATGAAATTACAAACATTTCAAATGAAGGTGATGCAAAGGACTCTCCGTGTCACCATCAGAAGTGAACAGAGAGTACACGGGACAACTTCCCGATCAAGATGTGACATGCCTTTCTAAGCAGCAGCTTGGTCCAGCACAGCTTACAAAAGAGGGATCAACGAGACAAGGGACACGACTTTCCCGTCCCGAGGGAACACATCGATAGGGGACAGCCGCCGTCCCTCGCGCGTTCTGTGAAGTAGGAGTCTCAGAAAAGCACCAATTTCGAAAGGTCTGCTCCCCAACTCTGCTTGGAGTGGGCCCGGCAGGCGGCTCCACGTTGTCTGAAACCGACTTAGAAGTTGGGTGCACCAGACCCACACGCCAGCTTCTCCTTTCCTGTTTCGTTGAAACAATGGCTGTGTGAAATGTAGCACAAACACCAAAACAAAAACAAAACAACAGAGGCAAGCGTCTGAGAAATCAAAGAAGAAAGGGGTGTGGCGAAAGATGACGAACGCAGTAAATTTCCTTTTCTCATTGTCAGTGCAAACGCGAAACCCTCCTCTTCCACATTCAGAAGTGTGATGGGGGGCCATACGGCGCCACTCCTTGCTGTGGCTGGTTACCTAGTGAGAAAAACAAAACATGCAAACAAAATGACAGGTGCAAAACCTCTCCACGGCAACATGTCACCCTCTTGTCACTGCTCTTTGTCCCAGCCTCAGGAGTAGGGAAACCGGCTGCCCAGGGTGGACAGCCCCAGCCCTGAGATCCTAGTGATGGGGCCCAAATCCTGCCGCCGAATGCCTTCTGTAGAATCCATCCCAACGCTGTATCAGGCTCCGACCCACGGCCCACCCGGTCTCCACCTCTAAACTGAGAAATAACTCAGTCCTTCCGAGCAAAAGGCTGAAATGCTTCAGAGAATTGCGGGGCTCTCAAAATGTTTCTAGAAACAAGCCAGCCATTGTGGTTTAACAATGACAGAATAGATGAACCAGAAGGACAGACGATCTAAGCTTGGGACTGTGTCATTTTGCGGGGGAGGGGGGCAAAGGGTGATAAGGTATATGAGAATTATGCAAGAGTGTATATGCATGTGCAAAAGTGTGTGCTGGGGGAGTGTTGTGTGTTGATTCAAGGGTGGGTGTGTGCACACATACATGCATATGCACATGTACACACAGGAGCAAAATAATCAGGCGTTAGGGAAAAAAACCCACATAGGCTTAGACAGAGTTACTTGTTGAACAACCTGGGGGGTACTATTCAAAACCAGAAGCCCCATTTGCATGGGCTACAGCCACAAACACCAATGTAGAAAGTAGTGGCGGAGCCGGCTGGGGCTGTGCAGTGGGCAGCTCCGTTTAATTCGCGAATTCACGCTGTGATGAAGAGGTGTGCTCTGGAGAGAGATGGTTTGAGTTCACGTCCTAGTTCTGCCCCTTACTTGGTAGCTGAGTGGCCTTGGGCAAAGGATTTCATCTCTGTTCTTGAGTTGTTTCCTCACCTATAACGTGGGCATAAGACCTAGCCTCAGAGAGTGGCTTAAGAATGATGTGAATTGAACATGCGAGTCACCGTGCCTGGATCCCAGTAGGTGCTCCGTAGATGATCATAAAAAATTTTTTAAAAACTAAACTAAAAAACCAACCTTGAGCGCTGGTAGACAGAAAGTGGCACTACTCCCCCCCAGAAACAAAACAAAACTAGGTACACAGTCCCCAACACTAGAAAGGCTCTAAAATGACCACCTTGCTCCCTTGCCTTATAGTCTTCGGTTCTCTCTGGCCGGACTATGAACTCTGGCACAAATACACCGCAATCACACTTTACATTCGTTAAGATGACAGCTCTTACACGGTACTTGTAAAGGATGACTGATGTACACGATTTAATGGAAAAGAAAGGAAGCCTCAGAGGGAACTACTTGAGGTCACCAGGGTCTGAGAGACATTGTCGGGGAGAAAACCAAGATGAACACCCCTCCCCCCCCCCAATCACACGGAGCGGGGCTGGCAAGATGGCCAGACGCCTGCCCCTGCTTTCATCACGGCTGAGCTCCGTGCCTCAGAACCACATCATCCAAGACCCAGGAGGGGTCACCGCTCTGCATCCGCCCTGCATGGATGCAGAAACCCGATGGCCCAGCTAGCGGTCAACAAGTCGGCATCAGGACTTAGGCCTCCTTGTGTCCAAGTGAAGACTATAAGCCCCAGACTGGGGCTTTTCCAGGAAAGGCAGCATTCAGCCAAGCCAACACCAAGACCAAAGCTCCCCGGACCAAGCCGAAGATGGAAATGGCAGCGTTTAGGGAGCCCCTACTGGGGCTCTGCTTCCTGGCTTTGCATTCCCCAGGGACCACTGGGCCCAGACAGGCAGGAGGACTTACTCGAGAGCTGCTTCTGGAGCTGCCGCACCAACGCGGCCGTCTGCTGCTGCTGCTGGGTCTGCTGCAGGCCTTGCCTGGGGAACTGCAGTGGGGACAGAAGGAAAGATGGAACCGGCGTGCATGCGCACACACACACGCGCACACACTGTGGCAAGCACACACAGGAACGAAGACTCGACCGTGGGGTCAAGTGGTTGGTAACGCACAATAGAAACACGTGGCATCCAGGGTGAGGCACACCCCCGTGGCAAAGAGGCTCCCAGCGGACATGCGCCACCCATTCAGGAACCTTCTCTCCAGGGGGCTGGGGTAGTTCAGTGCTTTTTGAAAGGACCCTGGACCAAGGAGTCCAGTCTCCAGAAGTGGTGCCCTGGGGTTCACACATCCTTAGGATTTCATGCTTCGTCCATCTATAGCTCTTGTCATTGGCAACACGAGGCCTCTGCTCACAGGATCGGCGCCACCAGCCCAGGCCTAGCCCTGCCTGAGGGGGAGCAAGGAGGCTTGCTGATGAGGGGGGGTCTGGTGAAGGTCAGGGCTCCTTGGGGACTGTGCCTGTCCCCACATGATGGTGGATCTGGCTGCCTCTGCCCATCAGCGGTGTGCCATCCAGTGTCAGCCAGGGCTTGGACAAGGGCGAGGGGAGAAGAAATGGAGGGCCATAGAAATGCAGGGTTGGAAAGAGATGGCCCGAGGTGACCAGCACGCCCTGGTTAATTCCAGCAATCGGGTCGAGTGGCTGGTGGGAATCATGCACGCCATTGCCCACACAGAGGCCTCATTGACTATGAGCCGATTGACAGACGAGACTCCGCCCCTTCACTCTTCATCCTCGCAAGTCCCAAATTGACACCAGATGATGTAACTACCACAACCTGCATAGTGCCTGGCAGCGCCTCCTGTGAGCCTGGCACTCAAGTTAAATGGATGGAATGACTGGCTTCCAAGTGTCCTGGACTCCTGCAAGCTTCAAAAACAAAAGGGACCCACGAGACAGAGGTAGGACTTCCTCCACAGAGGCGCTGCAGAAACAGATGAACTTGTCCTTTTCTTGTTGTTCTGCCAATGCCCCAGATCAAGTTGGGGTGCCGGGGGGCACCTTCCTATCTGAAAAGCCATGAAAGACACGTGTTCTCTCCTCTCCAGTTCAGCCAAGGCATATCTGGAAATACCGCCCTGTTTGGCTTACTAATGCAACCACACACACGCACGGCGTTCACAGAGGCACCAGGCTCGACTGGACGTCTTCCACATATTAACCCATGTCGGTCTCATGCCGAAGCGCTTGTCCTCCAGGTCTTATCCAAAGCCCTAGGAGGGAGATGCAAGAAAACCTTCACGAATAAAGGACGAGTGGATCCAGACGGCGCCCCGTCAGCAAACAATTGTCTGCAGCACACACGCGGAGAGCCGGGCTGGCTGAAAGAGAACGGTCTGTGTCCATTCGAGCCAGCTGCCGCCACCAAATAGTCAGGTCAGCATCCTCTGCTAAGGGGTGAAAACCCGTATTCCCATCCCCAGAGGGGTTTGTGGTTTGGGGACAATAGAAAGGGCCGTGGACCTTTACAGCCTGTATTCATTTCATTCACGAGGAAACCAAGACTCAGAAGGGTTAAGGGGTCTGCTTCCAGAGTCTACAATTGTAACCCCTCTCTGAGGCTCCTTCGAGGTTCCTACATAGTAACTTATTTGGAAGTAATTATGGCTTTTAAATGGTTGGCTATAAAAAGGCTATTCTGGATCTAGATCTATGTGCATATATTTATAGGTTTAGTATTAAGGTAGCAGATGGACATTGGGCCTCCACTCAAGCACTCCCTCAATGCAAGAATACTTTGTTCTATTAAACTGGCATTCCATGACGCTCAGCTTCCCGACACCATGCTGAAGACAAAGTGGGTGCATAAGTAAATGTGGTGAAGAAAGCTGATGGTGCCCAGCTATCAAGATACAGCATCTGGGGTCTTGTCTTAAAGGCTTGAAGATAAACAAGCGACCATCTAGCT